TGATATTTACACGCTGTCCTATCAATATTTTAATCCAACGCCTTCATTCTTATTACTGCTGAAATCAAATCTCGTATAACTCTTCCGTTGCTGGTACTTACTCTAAACAGGGAGAAACTTACAAGCACCTCATATCTTACATGGAATTTACACTTAAAATGCTTTCTTCATGCTTTGGTATCTTAGATGAATAGAAGCGCATGACCCGGGGTTTCAGTGTTACTTCCTCACACTTACGACAAAACTAAGATAGGTCCCTTGTTGGGATGACGCCAAGTGGACGGATCGAGACCTATATCATCTGATATCTTGCATGACATTGGGTACATGGTTAGATATAATGTATCATTCTATGGCTCGTAAGGCTGTTATCATTTGCCTGCAATAACCCCCTTTTGAACTATGTCCCTGGGTATATATTAATACTAACTTTTCACTGACTCGGTCTTCTCGCCACGCTCTTCACCTGTTTCGTAGGCATTCTTTCATTAGTTCTGTGTCAAGGTCAATAGATAAGCTACCTATTTCACCCACAAGCTCGAGTAGGCGATTTGCATGGTTCGTTGTCTTGAACATGATTATGTGAAGACCTCGTCGACTACTCTAAATACTACTCCAAGGGAGTTCGGAAGTCGGTAGGTATAGCGGACGGCGCTATCTCACCTAAGCATGACTTGAGTGACCGGCCTCGGATGCTTGCGGAAGGGTCTACTTTATACCATGTGCTTACAGAAAATCAAGTACGGCTATATCCAAGAGTCTCACACTGACATATTGCAGAAGCCGGACTTATTAGTTCCAGACTCGAATACAAGGTCACGAAGTATCAAATGTTGATATTAGCAATAATAAGAAAGTTTAATCTGGTGTATATTGGTTCGTATTATCTCTCCTATTGTGGCGACGGATTGAGTATGAAGGGCGATAGGAATCACCTGTCCGTCGCTTCCGTCTGTCTAGCCCTTCATCCGCTACAAATCTTCGAGATACGTTGCTTACTTGGTCGTTCCTTTCAACATCTTCTTCCTGGACTCGTCGCTTCCTTGCCGTGGGGTACTGGACCTTGCGATCCCAGGCCTCCAAAGACCACGGACTGCGCAAAAAGTTCTTGAGTTCGTGAAGGAGTAACTTGGTATTATCGCGACCGAGGAAGTCTTTTAGCATTTCTTCCGCTTGCCCCTGGCTTCCTTGAATATCTACAGTTTTCAGGATAGCAATTATATACTCAAGCAGAAACTCGGCGTTATTCGCACGTCTTCTCGTCATCGCATCGTCACTGGATTGTGCGGTGGGTGGAGTTCGAAGGAATTCGAAGACTTGTAGTTCCCTCCTGAGCCACGTTCGCGCCCTTGATATCATCTCGGGATCGGATTCGAATACCTGTGGAGTTAAATCTCGATAGCCCGATCTTTGGTTCGACCCGACGTGTAGGGAGTAGAGTTGATTACGATAGACATCTTGCCGGCGGAGAATAGCCTCATCAACAGTTATCCGGCGCGGAGGCGCTTCTTCGTATCGTCGACGGTTTGGTCTCGGAAACAGATTTCGCGGGTGGTAGATTTGGGCATGCGGCTGTAGGGGCTGTTTTGATGACGGCTTCGGGGGCGGAACTAGGTATACCCTGCTTTTCGCATCAGGGCTATCGCTTTCGAAATCATACCAGACCTCATCGACATTGCTCTTGCAAAGAGGGCATTTCGTCTGCTGCTCTAGCCAACTAAGGAGGCAGAGGTAATCGAAATTCCGATGGCTGCAAGGCCTGGCCTCACAGATCTCGGTGATGCTATCGAGGCAGATGACGCAGCATGTCTCGTTTGGATTATCGGCTTCGGATTCTCTCCTTGACAACGCTACCTCTGTAAGAGTATTTTGGAGTACTTGAGATTGTATATCAGTCGCATCCAACTTTGTGTCCATATAGATAGGAAGTGTTGCTGTGAGTAGGAGCAGTAGGCACGGAATGTTGTAACTAGTTGAAAATAACCTCGATGTTTAGAGGCAATTTACAAACAAATGGCGATTGACAGGGATTGACGAGGTACGGAAGTACGAAAATACAAACAATGGCTCGGTTCCATGGCAGCATTCCAGATTGCTGACGTAACATTTCCCCCCTAAGGCGGGTACGTACATGTACTAAGGTAGATCATTTAAAGTGCCCCACTAGATTGTCCCGCGTCGCGTTCCATTAAAGCTTGTCGCGTTTTTGGTGGATTAACCTTCCCTATCAAAAACATTCCCTACTACCAAATCCAATATTTAGCAACAATTATTAACAATTCACGTCAAAATCTACATACAGCACTGTTCAACTCGTATCTTAGTTAAGATGGATGAAAGTGAAAGACTTCAATATGAAGAGACGAGCAAGCAATTACGCGCCGACCTCAAACAATTCGAGGCCGACTGGGCAAGCCAGAATGCCGGCGCAAAGCCGGGGCGCGAGGATATTAAGAAAAATCCAGAAATAGGTTAGATTTAACCCCAATGATAGATTTTCAACTAGGAGGGAATACTGATTGGTGCCTTATTCAGCTCGAAAATACAAGAAGTACAACCAAGTCCGCGATATCTTAGCTGGCAAGCTCCCTCCTCCAAAAGCCAAGGCGAAGGAATCATCAAGTTCTCGGAAACGTGAGCCGGAAGAAGCTCTTGCAGTGACGCCCTCAAAGCGGTCAAAGCCAGCTGAGACACCTTCCCATATACGGGAGCGAATTATAGATCCTGAGATGTTTGAGACGCCATCCTCGCGGAAACTGTTTAGCCCTGCTGTGCCTACTTCAATTGGACCTACCCCCCAAAGGGATGGGCGTATCCTGGGCTTATTTGATTTGTTGGAAGAGAACGACGAGAACACGCCTTCAAGGAGTAGGACTGGTGAATTCTTGAAAGATGGTGCAATCCAGGCCACTCCCAGCAAAAATGTTGGTAGCGAGAATATCGGTGACGCTATCAAACTAGATAAAACTCCTGTGTCGAGCAAGCGCACAACACTTTTTATGACACCCTCGCGACGAGATAGCAATGCTCCTCTAGGTAGAACTCCCAGTTCTATCCGCAAGTTGCAATTGACTACACCATCTTTTCTCAGGAGAGCACCCCTGGCAACAGTGGACGAAAACGGCAATTACATAGCTCCTGCACCCCTACGCCTACCGCGCAAGCCTCTGGGTCGTAGTCTTAGCAGCGCAGTGGCGAGTCTACGAAAGCTAGAGGAAGAAGCGCTAGATGACGATCTCGAAGCCTTACGCGAGGCAGAGAATGATGTCAACCCGTCGGCCACTACGAAGCCTGTAAAGAAGAAGGAAGATATCCTCGAGCCAGACAGTCAGGCCCAGCAGCTCCTTGGTGGATTTGATGATGAGGATCTTTATGATAGTGCACCTGAAGAGCAAGTGGGCCGTAGCGGACAGCCCCTAAAGGTCTACAAGAAGAAGGGACAGAAGAGGACTACGCGACGAGTCAACATGAGGCCAACTAAGAGCAAACGGCCACAGCAGCCTGCGCAGGAACAACCGGGGACTGATGACGAAGATGACGTCGTACCTGAGACGCAGGCAAACATGACGAAGGGCGGCGATAGTCCACCACTAGACTTAGGATCCGACTCTGAATTCGACCTCATAGAAGACGAAGGTCAGGAGCCCAAGGAGGCGAAGCAGGTAGAGAAGAAGAAGAAGAAGAAGAAGACGGAAAAGAAGGATGGCAAGGTCCAAAAGGTTGCTAGGAAGGTCAACGAGCTAGCCCATGCGAACTTCAAGAGACTAAAGCTAAAGAATCATGGAGCAAAGGGGCCTCCGTCTGGGTTTGGGGGTAGATTCAGGCGTCGTAAATGAGCGGACAAGTTACTGAAACTACTGTATTGAATGGTTATGATGACGCTTGTCAGCAATTGCCTATTTGCATGAGCCCTTCCATCTCACTAGCGTATGTCTTTTGTTATATGCCGTAGGTACTTACCGAAGTAGGAGCCAGATACTTGACGACTTCTAATTTAAGATCCTACCATTCCTCTTCATCCGGCGTTACTGGACAGGATTTACATACGGAAAAAAGAATAACGAGGTTCTCGAACCCCGACAGGAAAAAAGGTTCGACACATGCAATGGCCATCGATATCTGGAAGTTGTTACCGGGGGCCCCTTGTCGACAACGCTAAGATCCTGAGGTGGTGGCCAAGACAGCCATAACATCATCCTATCGGCCTAAACCGTTGTCTTTTCAGTGACATTTCCAGCAGTCCCTCAGGTACATTTTTAGTTCGTCAAACGTCAGTCTAGCGTATACGTATTGGGCTGGTCGGATAGCTCACTATCGACAAGATAAATAAATAAGTACCAGTGGGACAGTTAGATTGGGATGGGGTGAGATGGGAATTCAAGAATTTGACCATTAACAAATTTGATTCCAGAGATCGGAAATATTGCAAGGGGTAAAGATTAGTTACTACATGTCTGCATGGCGCTCATCGGGAAGACCCCAACCCAGAGGGCACAGCATACCTTAACCCCGCTGTCAACCGCCCTTTTTTTGATCCATAATTAAATATTTATACTGATATTGAATTAAGGTACCTTCGGGAGGTACTCTGGATTAATCCTTAATGTATCACCCATATGCCAACTTTTATCTACTTATATCACCTATAAACTATTCCCTGTGTCTTAAATTCTAGTATTTTCTTACATTGGAAAATTATCGTGGTGAGACCAAGAGGTGGAAACAAACCTATATTATCATGCAAATAACTAACTGACTGAGTAAGAACTACATGATACCGGGGCAGGGTCCCAAATTAGGACCACGACGAAAGAGACAAGATACATAAAAGTTAGGTAAAAATGTGCCTTAATGAATGTGTAGCACGATGCCATAACTAGTGATATTCAAAAAGAATGCATTCCATGTCTCCACATACGAGTCAGTATAGCATACTTAGACGCTGGCCGTAACATTTCCCAAGTCATAGTAGGGTGCTGTGAGGCCGGGAAAGGGTCAACACGTGGATCGCCATATGGGACTAATGTCTCCCCGTATGACATACCCCAACAGTCTTATTTCTTATCATCGAACTGAGCCCCGAATCCCAGTAGATCTTGGTCAAGGTTGGTGTGGTCGCTCTGGGTGTCTGCGGGTGCATCGTTAGACTCTGAAGGGTCTGGTAGGTCAGGCACGGGCGAGCCCCTGTTTGTCCTTGTGCTGTCGTTCGTCATTCCAGACTCGTCGTGCCTATGTGTAAGGTTATGGACATGTCAGAATTGGGTTATACTAAGGGGAAGTTTTGTTTATCTGAACAAGTAATAAGCTTACGAGGTAGTCTCCTGGCCACCGGAGGACGAAGTGTGAGACATTATAAGGTTGAATGATGATCTCTCTCTCTCTCTCTCTCTCTCTCTCTCTCTCTCTCTCTGTGTGTGTGTGTGTGTAGTAATTCAAATACGAGTAGATATAAGTTGAAGTTTGGTGGCAGTAGATGTGGTAAGAACGGATGGATAGCAGGTAAGTCTTGGTGACTGTATGGTATGTAGTTGTGGAAAAATAGATGCGTATATATATGAAGGCCTAGATAAAATATCCAAGTCTCAAGATAGAGATATGAGCCGCCGAATGCTGGGGTTGGATCTGGATGCTAGTATGTAGAGGAAAAGAGAACGAGAATGAGGAGGGAAACCGTCCAGGTATTTATCTCGTAGCTCGAGGCATTGCTGTGCAAGTCTCCTCCTAGACCAGGCGTTTCGCTATCTACAACTTATAATCACCCAACCTACTCGCATACCTATGTTCTTCTACTGATCGATATAATAAGCTTGGGCTTCTTAGGTACCTAGGTATCTATATATACGATACTTGCATATTTCACAGTTGCTTCGTGTGATTGGCTACAGCAGTTTTGTTCGACGGATAATTGCACAGGGGATTTCGCTTTTTATGAATATTAATTTGCGTGTGTCACCATAGAAGTCGCAGCGGAAATCGTCCGTACCTGATGTTGTGTTACCCCCCTAGTTATGGGAAGATCCGACCAGAGTTACAAGATCTGATCTCCCTCCGTAAGTTGGTCATCATCCCCCATCCCCGGTACACTACGGACCCAATTTGCCAACCAACCTTATCAACTCCTATTTTTGGGCTTATATTATGGCAATCTGTAAAAATATCTTACGCCATTCCATCTCCGCTAGGTTAATAGAGTCAAATATAAGAAGCCTATATACCGCCTACTTCCTCCCTAGCTTGGCTTACCTGGCCGAAGGCCAGATAGGTTGATTTACTAGCATGCATTATATGATCCTAATATCCAAGAGCAATCAAAAGCGACAAAATAGGTGGTCTCGCGCCGTCGTCTCTCATATCAAAGCATTGTTTTAGTTATATATATCATAACTATAACTATAAACAGGCACCTACTGTAGGCAAGTAAATTCCAAGACGACGAAATGTACTAAGATACTTGGTTACGTACCTAAGGTACCTTTGGGTAAAGTAGCTAAATATTGTCCCGGTTCCTTTAGAGAGAGAAACAGAGTCTTTCCATGACGGAATCATCCGGTGAGCTGTAAAAGACGCGTATATTCGGATACGGAGATACTTTCAAGATTAATGTTTTGTCTATCCTCCGTAGCCTGCATAAAACCTCCCCAACTCATGCAGGCTACTAAGCCGCCGTCATTGCTGTCAATGGTTGCTTAAAAAAGGAATGCGCAAGTCCTATGTGACAACTGGATATCGCATATTCCTACCATTGGACATATCCCATTTGTTGCGGGTCAGCTCGACGATTGAAATTAAACGGCATCAGCTATTGGTTCTTTTGCTTACGCCCGACTAAGCTTCTTGCACCGGTCTTGCATGCATCAGGCTTCATCCCACTGGTTGCCTGACCGGCCTGGGACGCGAGATAGATCGTAATATAAAGGAGGCGTTATCGCCTTCGAGGACCTAAAAGAAATCTAATTTTTAATCTTCTACTTCTTTACTTTTTCAAATCTTCAAGAAAACTCACTTCGTCGATAAGAGGCAAGAGTAAAATCAGAATGGACCCATCGAACTCTTCAACGGACAATGGCCCAGTGGACAAGTTCTTGAATATCCCATATAACCAGAGATGGGAGTATCTTAAACCTGTCATAATTCGTATGTACTTGGAGGAGAATAACACAATGAAACGCATCTCAGAGCGGATGAAGGATGAGTATAGCTTTAACGCCCAGTCAGTATTATATGTCCATGCCTGTTTTGTTCTGTTTAGTAACAAATTGCTCAATGACTAGAACTGGTCAATATCAATCTCACTTCAGGAAATGGGACGTGAGAAAAAGGACAATAACTAAAGAGAAGGATGATGTTATCGGCGTTCTTGGAAAGCGTATCCGGCAAGATGGAATCAGCACCTCTGATGCAATCATCAATCGAGGCGACTGTGCAAAGAGTGTGGACAAGAAGCAGCTCAAGAGGTACATCAACCAAAGTATCCGTCAAGACGAACCAGTAACTTTGCATACCGGAATGTAAGCTAGAATACGAAATTTTTATGAAAGTCAGATGTCTAATTTCAATTTCAGATTCGGTCGGCAGAACCTCCCGTACGCCGCATTGATCCGCAGCCTTACGGAGGAGGGCTCCTTTTCACCATCCGGCACCAGCCCTTTTACCCCGGAATACTTGACTATAAACAGTCCACAAGGGATAGCATCTGCTTCCAGTCCCCAAGATGCCTTGTCGCCAGCCATGCAGCTGGTAAAACGAAAGATACTATTAAATAGAGCCCGTCTTTTCTTGGAGGATAGGAACCGGGACTTGATGGCACAGCTAACTGCAGATGAACGAAAGTAAGTCGGTCTTCCTCAGATTACTTCGCGTCCTTAAGCGCTTACCAGTCCTTTTGATTTAGGTCTGTAGTGACATGGCTTCATGACTTTTGGATATACTCCTTCATGACTGTCAAGTACTGGGGTAGGGGACCAGAGATGTGGGATCTGTCCCTTATTAACTTCAAGTCGTTTGCTGGGATGGTCCCTCTATCTCCCCCCATAGATCAAGAATTCGGACCGCCATCTAGATCTCGTTCGATTCCTGACGGCCCGACGCAACTCTGTCGATGGAGTATACACTATAAAGGACCAATGTATGAACCTATCTCTTCTCCACCAGCAGAGATCCATAGGTCCGAAGATCAATTTGATATTGATGACGAGTCTACATGGACTGTGTGGCCAACGAATGGCTCTAATCAAGATCCTACAAGCACACTAGCCCAGGGACTTCAAGAGAACCAATTTAGTTCTGTTAAAGCCGAGGAACTTCCATTTGCCACCGACGAAATCGTAAAAACTGCAGAAAGGTCGCGGGATGAATTAGAAGCAGAGGCTTTCGGTTTTGCTATCATGTCGCGTAACATTGATGTTATTAATGAAATCATAGGGGACTACAAGGGAAGGCTTCCAGACAGCTTTCTAACGATTTTTCCGTTTCATCTAGCAGCGAGGTTCCTAGACGGCGCTAGGACTTGCTGCCTTATCATGGAAATATTATTAAATTTGCTACAAGACTCATCCTCAATAGGCACAAATTATATCGATGGTTCTGGATTTACTGTGCTGGATACGTTTTTTGTCACGATCCTACGATCACACAGCAAAGTCTCGCTTGAAATTCTGAGTGGCGAGTTTGCCGGTCAATCTCAATACGCTGGACAGGAGGTCGACCCTTGTGGTCGATGGGATGCGGATTCGCCTTGTGTTCGACAATTATATGCTTCCGGAAGCCCGAAAATCCCAGATGAGTGGAAACACGTATTCTGTCATACTTCAGTACAGGCTATATGCCATTCTATATCCGCAATATTCTTAGTTGACTGGCATCCAAATATTAATACGTCGAGTGGATTGTTCAAAAGGCGGTGCAGCTGTTGCGGGCTAGAGTTAATACTTGGGCCACTTCATGCCCTGGTCCTGACATCGTTCTTCTTGGCAAATGATGGAATGCCCGGCGAGAATCTTTTTGGCATGATATGTTGCCTTGTATGTCTGTTGACTCACCAGGCTGATCCCTATGCTGCCGTGGAGGTCTCAATTCCCGAGTTACTGGGACGAGGATTAGTGAATGAGTGCCAACATGTAACTATGAACCCGGCGGAATTGGCATTGGAAATCTATTCAGAGAGAATGTCGTCGTGGACTCACGAAGTTAATCGTGGGTGGGAGATTCTCCTTTTTATCCTACGACTAGACCACAAGAAGAAGGATTACGATGATGAGGATCCTGACGACGAGGATCCTGACGAATGCATTCATATTCCCAGAGCAACATATTCCAGTAATCGACAGCTAGGCCAGATATGGGCAGCTATACAGGCCGAATTATTGACTTATCGTCGTCTAAGTGAAGACCACGATTGGCTATCTGTTAATTTTGATATGGAAAAGCTTTGGAGAGCCTTGGAAGGTAATGATGAAGAGCTCCTTCGTGAGTTTGCTGATAACCCGGATGATATAACTGGGGAATTTAAGTTGAAGGAGTATTGGCGATGTGGGCATTTTCGTAGTGCCCGGTATCCATTGTGTGCTATTAGGGAGGAAGTATGCAACTTATACTATGCTAATCTTGATAATTGGGAACGCACTGCATTTATTAGGACGTGGTATTATTGGTAAAATGCTAATAATTGGAGATGATATATTACGTTGATCAGTTAGTGCACGGTGTCGTGGCCACTTTGATACCTTCGTAAGGAGGCAGAATACTATGTGAAGACGGCCTCTAGGTACGATCTCAGAGATCCGATTTTAATTTCACATAATACCTGCTAAAAGATACCGTATATGAGCTGTAGTTGTATATTGACTTAATCTACCAACTGTATGAGTGAGGAGGGAGGTCCTTCTTATATACATTCTATGCTAAGATACCATGTACTGTACCTGAAAGTAGTCCCTTGACCACTCATTTCGACAACACCTAGCGAGTTCCTAATCTTATAACTCGAGACTTATCTTGTAATCCTAGGTACCTATCCAATTCTAACACGTTAATAATATGTATAAATCCATTCGCAAATACAAGCCAGTGCCTGATGCAACAACCCCTAGACAAAAGAACCGTTCACTCAATCCTCACACCCGCAACCCCTGAGCTATCCCCAACTCCAACACCCTCACAAACCTCCTCACATCCTCCACCGAGCTATAGAACCCAAACGACACCCTCGCACCCAACCTATTCATCGTAACGCGCGCACCCCCTGGACCCCTAAAATACGCCCCCCACTCCTTCGGCAGCGCCAAAATAGTAATATGCGGCGCGCGTCTCCCCCTTTCCCTCGGACTCACCACGCGTATACCCAACCGATCACACTCCCTCCCCAGCACATCCGTCAACCCAAGCAAATGCGCCTCGACGTCCCCCGGCCCCAAAACATCCAGATAAAACCGCGCAAACGCCGCCGCCGCAGCAACGCCCACCAGGCTCATATTGGCATGTTCGAACCGGCGCGCATTCGGATGCAACTCCAACGGCTCATCCACCTTAACAACCAGACTCTCGTTCAAGTTCTCCACAGCCTCCATACTAACAATCGGCGGCGTCGGCTCGCCCAGCTCCCGGAAAGACTCGGGCGAAACGTACAAGGCGCCAATCCCCGTCGGCGCATTGAGCCCCTTATGCAGACTAAACGCCGCAGCCGACACCCCCAGGTCCCGGACGTCGATGCGCGCAAACCCCACGTGCTGCGTTATATCCGCCAGGACGTGGATCCCGCGGGGCCTGTACGCCGCGCAGATGCTCTTGACGTCGTTGTGCTGTCCGCCATCAAACGTAATCGAACTAATCCCGATAGCGCGAGTCCGGGAATCCACATACGGCCGCAAAGTCTCCGCATCGACGATATCCATCTGGCCCGTGCGCTCCGCCTCGGGAATAGTGGGGACCTGCCGGACTTCGAGCCCGAACTCGCGCAGGGCGAGCCAGCATAGCGTCTGGTTCGGGTGTTCGGAGTCGATGGTGACGACGTTATCGCCGGGTTGGAAGCGCACGCAGCGGATGAAGCTGCCGAGGGCCTCGGTGGTGTCGCGCGTGAAGGCGATGGTGGACGGGTCTTCGGCGTTAATGCACCGAGCGACTAGACTGCGCGCTTCTTCGCGCGTCTCGCGCCAACTAGTATATGGGTAAGAGTCATACAAGGCCTGTGCCGAGTATCGCATGATGGCCTCGTGGACGATCAAGTTCGACGGCGGCGCAGAGGCCGCGTTGAGAAATATGACGTCGTCATTTTGAGAGACTAACGGGACTAGATGTCTATGTGCCGCGAACTTATCCGCCAGTCGCTTTTCTTCGTCCGCGCTATCTTTTGCTGGCGAGTTAGGCTCGGCATGCTTAGATGACGCCTTGATAAGTGGACGAGATACCATGGCTGGCGACTCGATAGGTAGTGAGTTTCAACTCACTTGAAGGCCGTTAAGGTTAATAGACAGGGAGGATTAAGATAGGCAGTGGGACTAATGGGAGGTAGTTAAAATAAGTTTCGGGATAAATCGAGATCTTACTTATATGGGTATATGATTGGTATCGAGTACCATTGCACCATACACCCTCCTATACACGCCTACCAACCCCGCTTCTTCGCATGAGGCCAATCAGCACGTCTTCATCTATCATGTAATATACATCGGGCATAGGAAGTATTTTCTACACAGCAGGGTTTTACTAACTAGTGGGAATATAAATATCGCCTAAAAGGTCAGAAATATCGTCAAGATCATAACTTGTAAGGTGAGAATCGAAAATATTATGTAATTAAAATGTTATGTATAAGGTTAAAATTTCTATTGGTAAGAAGGGTATCGACTTTTCCTGCATTGGTCGTATGCCATAAAAGAATATCAAATTATCAACATGTCCTAAACTCCCCGCTCGATGAATTTGTAAATGCAACACACATATTCCATACCTATCTACTTCAATACTTCATCTAGCCTCTTAAGGTGGTAACAATCGTATCCGTTACCGTTGTGATCGTCATCACCGTCTCTTTCTCTGTTACAGTGACAGTAGCGGGGGTAGGAGCAGGTGTTGTCACGGATGTAACACCAAAGTTATTAGGCTTCGTGAAGAAGGGGGCTCCCTTTGGATCATCCCCACTGTTGCCTCCAATATCCCCAAGACCAGGGAAGTCGATAATATCCGTCTCGATTGGGATGACGTGGAGGCCGGAGTCAGTAGGGGTAGTCTGTACTATCGTTGCTGTACTCGTGGACGGCAGAGGTGTTTCAAGTGGTGAAGATGTCGGGACTTTCGGGCTGGATGGCGTTACAGTTACAGTTTCCGTAACTATTTTAGGAGGCAATGGTGAGCTTGAGGACCGGGTCGCAGTGCTAAATGTGGTCGGTACATAATGAGTAACTGTTACTGTTTTCTCTGAAGGTTGGGCAGGAACTGAAGAGCTTGTTTCCGAAGAGCTCGTTGCTGAAGAGCTCGTTGTTGAAGAGCTCGTTGTTGAAGGGGTTTGTGTAGACGAGCCGAGATTTATGGTGGTCTGAGCCGTCTTGGTGGCTGTCGGTGTGACTGTCACAGTGACCAAAGTCCCATCAAACGTCCCAGTTTCTGTAGATGAGCTAGCAGAAGTTGAGCTTCCTACGGGGGGTACATCGCCACCCAAAGCTTTGCGAGCGGTAGCATCATCCCAGCAACCAATCTGAACGCCCTTAACTGTAGTCATCGGCAAGGCGTAACAGGTCAAAGTGCCGGCACAAGGGGTAATCTCGAATGCGCCGGCACTAGAACATTTTCCGATATTCCCATTAACACAGGCAACTTGACCAGCAGCGCAAGCAGATTCCTCAGTCAAGCCAGCGAAGACCTTATTGTAGCTATTTGCGTCGGCCAGATTGCTGGCAAGAATTTCGGGGGAAACTGTCGTTGACGAAGCCGGAATGGAACTAATGATGGTGGGAACCTGGTCATTTAACGTCCCTGTTGGCGTTACCGGATGAGACACATAAGATGATTTAACAACTGATGCGAATGAAGCAGTAGTGAGTTGGGAGGATATGGCAGTAGCCGATGTAGATGAACTTTCTAGACTACTAGCACTCTTACTGCTTGCTAGTGTAGAAGGACTTGCGGCGTTTGTGTTAGAATTTATGGACGTGGTAGACTCCGAAGCCGTGGAACTACTTTGTGTCAATTGCGTAGTTTGACTCTTCTTGGTCGCCGTTGATTGAGACTCAGTCAGAGATACTACTGAAGACGTCGGCGCAAGGGGAAGAGCCAATGACGTAGATAGATGTAGTCCGGTAGATTCCTGAGATGAGCTTCCAGTCGAGTTCGATGGAGCAGCAACCACAGTTGAGCTCGAAACAGCCAAGTCTGCGGTAGAAGCGGGAGGGCCAACAGGGACTGTAGAAGATGGGAAGATGTCGAAGGTTGGGATGGTACTACTCTCGCTTAACGTGAACGACCGAGATATCGAAGTGGAAGAGCTGGACCCAACGGGGCCTGAGGTGGAACTCGCACTTGAAGTAACTACAACCGACGATGAAGTTAAGCCAGGCGCTGATGTTGTGAATGTTAATGATTGAGATGAAGATGACGTTGACGCTTTGGATGCTTCGCTCGTGATTAACGTCGAAGAGGTTTCAGTTGATAAGGGAGTGGTCGTCGTGGTGGCGATGCTACTAGTATTCGCGAACCTATAAACCTTCGAAAACCCCAGCGCATCACGCCTCTCTCCTCGCCTCAGCGGACCTGCCGCCGAGGCCTCGGAGAATAAGAGGAGGTGTGAGAATAAAACTAAGATGAGCATTTTGAGTATGATTTTTTTCGTTTCTAGATTGAAGTGAAATGAGAGTCTATGGGAAAAGAAAAAGGAAAAAAATGAAACGAAAAGGGGAAAGATAGGTTATGACGCCAAAAGCATGGAGGAGCGGTTCATATTATTTGGTGTATGTGATAAAGAGCCTAAGGATCTTAAAGGAATGCCAAGTATTATTCAAAACCGAACAAGGGGATGGGAATGCGGCACAATGGTAGAGAACAATAGTTATAGTTAATAAATAGACGACAAAGAAAAGGTAGCGGAGAATAAAGAGCCGCAAATTCACGAGGACGACCAGCGAGATCTAGAAAGGACGATTATAAGCATTGACGATCTTCGCCCGCAGGAGGGGGGGGAGCTCTCATCTTGTATTAAACACCAGACGGACTGATTATGCACATCTGGCCATTCCTGTGGTAGGAATCCTACTGTTGGGTCACTGCTGGGTCACTGTTGGGTCACTGCTGGGTCACTGTTGGGTCCACGACTATGACGTTAAGGGACCAGGTTTCGCCAAAGTTTCGGCCAAGATGAGATGTCCAACTGCTCGTAACATAAAATTGAGGCCTATCGAGAGGACCAAACGAATCGGGGTAAATCGTCCAATAGAATAGTATTGGACCAGGTGGTTCCGACCGCTGGGATAACCCTTGACATGGCAGAACTACTAGTTAGTTTCCGTATCGCATGTAGATTGGGTTTGAAGAAAGGTTGGCTAAGCGCTGCCGGGGGGTACTTCTAGTTTCTTCAATTAGTGTTTCGTTAATTGACGATGGTGACGCGCGCTTGCGTATTATTGGCAGCGGCCAATTGATGGTTGGCGGCTACAAGATTTCTGAGCCAATCGCTTGAGCTTCTGCAGAATTACCTGCGGCCACCTAAAGCAGGAACCCGTCCTTTGAGGCTTGGCTCCATTGACTCCATTGACTTCATTGGCCATCGTATATCCTTCTTGTATATAAGTATCCAAGTACCATCGCCTGAGAGCTACATGCATAGGTATGTGTAGATTCGAAGCCATTTAGGCTTTGTTTGCTTCATTTTACAAGCCTAGAAAGATTAAAAATCTAGGTTAGGTGGTACCGCGGGTCGAAGCGTAAAATCGAGAAGATATCCCTGTCTAACCACGTGACTGTCACGTGATATATTCAAGTAAGCATTGATTTGCTATTTCGAGATGCAACTTTCTTTAATGCAATACAGCTATTATTAAAATGTTACAATCGCATTTATTTAAATAACAAAGAATCATAACAAAGACGAACTAAATCAGCCTTTACTATTCAATATTAGGGAAATTTCGCTTGATAGGCCGTGTATGTATTTGGTCTTTTAAAAATCGAAAGGCAGTGCTAAATCTACCCAAGGGTATGCACCCTCAAAGCCGCCGCTTGCTATCATAAGGGGATGTTACGAACCTATAAAACAACACAATGAACCACACTCTAACCGCCCCTAGTACACACCCCAAAGCCTCTTTGTGTACCCTATATGTCCAGGCCTGCCTCTCGGAGACCCTATGTCGCACCGCCGAGCTCCGCGAAAACGTATAATCATGAGGTTGAAAAGCAGGTGTTTGCAGAATATCAAAACCAGTTCCAAATCATATACGCGCTTGAAGCCCTTCGCGGCTAATCATAAATGATGCTCCACTATATCTTGTCCGTACACTGCTCAACGGTGCTCACGTCTCTAGAAAGACATGCGGCAACGATAGGTCGCTCGATCGGTACTATCCGCTATAGGCGTATGCAGGCGAATAATCGGACTGAAGCCGACAGACGAGTATTGTGACCTCTTCTATCCCGTCCAATCAGGATAAAATTCAACTCCCTCGTATATCTACCCTCTCTCAAGCCGGCTGGTCCATCTCCAACAGAATCTGCTGTAAAGCCTTAAACTTAACAGGCTTAGTCAAAAATTGCGACATGCCCGCATCCATGGCCTCTTGGCGCGTAGCCTCATTGCCGACACCCGTGATGGCAATGATAGTAGACGGTGACGCAGCAGTAGGTTCCCCTACTCTTTCCTGTTCAAACTCGCGGATCTGTTGTGTCGCTTCGAGTCCATCCATGACAGGCATTTGCAAGTCCATCAGCACGAAGTCAAAGTGCTCCTTAGTTTCCTTGAATTGAGTAACGGCTTCGAGCCCGTTCGTGGCCTCGGCGTACGGCAACTTGATCTTCTTCATGAATGTCACTAGGAGCTTGAGGTTGATCGCGTTGTCGTCTACTAGAAGGACGCGAGGTAGTCGTCTAATATGATTCCCAGACCGAGAACGGCCGTGCGGAATAGTCGCGGAACCGGGTCGATTACTGATCGTGCCAGGATGTAGCAATCCTGTCTGAATGCTCTGCTCAAATGGTAGTTTTAACTGTTGCTGATCGGATTTCCATTTTAGAGCTTCGATCGAAGGCCTATACCGATGTTCCGTCGGGTCGTATACGACCGCTGAGGCATTCCACCCAGTCTCTAAACTATACCTCTGATTTCGACTACTCTCGAGGGATGGCGAGGGTGCCCTAGACCGTGCAAGCTGATCCTGATGCTTTGAGCTTTCTTCGACGCGTTGAAGGCACTGAAGGAGGACTTTTCCTAGCTTGCGCACCCCTACGGGTTGGCTGATAACTTCAACTATTCTGCCAAGAGAAACTAAATCCTTAACGCCGGCAGCCCGTAGGGCCGCAGCCTCGAAAGCATTCGTGCAGACGATAAGTAAAGCCGCTTCTTTACCCGTATCGCCCATCTCCTTTCGCTCGAGGTGTTGTCTTAACAGGTGTTCTATCGGTGGTGGCTCAGCATATATGTAAATCGCTGTGTCCGGGTCGGTATCAACAGTCTTGCTTTCGATAACATCCATATTGAACCATTCCCGACAGAAATTGGAGATGGAAAGTTTCAGTTTGGGCAGTTCTCCATTGATATGGGTACCAAGCAGGGGGTCCAAAATGCACACCTTTTTCCCTGCCGTAGCTTTCATAACCTCGCGCTGGATTTCATCTTGGATACTACCGCAAGATCCACCGGCGTCGGCAGTCTTCATCGGAATGGTGATATTAACGTGTGTCCCAACCCCCTTCTCGCTGTCGATTTTGATCTTGCCATCCATGTTTCTCACGATTTGTGAGGTGATAGAGAGCCCAAGTCCCGTACCCGGTGTGAATGAGTCTTCCTGCGAAAAAGGTTTGAAAATATGGTTTGCAAGGAAGTTCTTCGACATACCAATACCGGTATCCTTTACAGAAAGATCCACCTCGTAATTAGACGGTGTGATTTCCTTTGCCTCCAACGAGACGTCGATGCTACCGGTTTTGCAGTATTTGATAGCATTTCCAACCACATTCATTATCACTCTCCTAAGGCCACCTGTTTGTCCCTGCAGATACCAAGATGCCAAACGTTGGATATGAAGCATCAAAAAGACCTTTCCTGAGAATTTTACACTGCCAGAGTGAATCTGTTCTTCGGTTGTCGATGAATCATCAATACTCATCGACTTTATTTCTGCAGACACCTCGTCGACGGGGTCGTGATGTCGGAGGTTGATTTTGCGAAATGTCTGGCCAGCAAAGACCGCTTCGACGACTTCCTCCAAGAGAAGGGCAAGATCGAAATTTGACGATAGGGGTTCCCCAACATCGCGCGATCCTTTCCACGTTCTTCTCTCGTTCGAGGAGCTAAGTCGCGCGCTCGCACGATTCAAGTTGTTGATTTTTGCGTAATCTAGGAGGTGATCGATGGTATCTAACAGCGTCTTGCCACATGTTTCAATTGCGCCAATTAGACTCGTTTGGTAAGCTGAAGTCATAGTATCCTCTAAGAACTCTAGGCTTCCCAGCATTCCGTGTAGCGGAGAACGCAAGTCGTGAGAGATGGATGCAATGAACGTAGACTTGGCAATATTCGTGTTCAGGACCTCCATGCTCGCTACCTCGCTCATCATACAGGATCCAAAGGTCTTAAAGTAGGGCAATGCATCATCGGGGTCGCCCATCTTGAAGTCGTCGCTCCAAATAAAACCTGCCGCAAACCATTGACCTTGGGCGTAATTGAAAAGGGGAAGGAATATCAGCCATTTTGCGTCCGGTATGCTTTTGAGAAGCTCTCGCGGTAATAGCATATGGGGTTGGTCCTCTATATCTTGCGTTGACGTGTTCAAAGCTGCGTAATTGGAGCCTCCACCGACAACTACTTCGTCAAGGGTCATGCTGTGATGGGATACGATGCGTCCCTTATTCAAGTAGAAGCATTTACCAAACGGATAGCGCATAATGAATTTCTTGAGATTTTTGCGCTTGATTATCCCCTGCGGGAACTCGTCACCACCATCACTGCCAAGGACATCAGCCATTTCATCTAGTCGATCGCCGAAAGCAGGCTGAGATGACGTGGATCCATATCCTGGAGATGAATCATCCTCTCTTGCCTTGTCGGCGTCGGTTTCTTCGTCCTCTGTTGACTCGAAATTGACATCCGAAGATACGGTTGGATCAGTACCATTTGGAGGCGACATTACCCCTTCAGACTGACCAAAGAACAGGCCCGATGCAGCATCGGTAAATACACATCCCGTAGCTCTGGCTTGCTGGCATAGTAACTGCGAAGCCTGTGTAAAAATCCTACGTATGCTATCCTTTGGCGAGTCGGGAGTTTCCTTGCCTTCAGAATCGCCAGCCCTGGAGAATCGAGGCCCTCGGCCTATTCGAGCCTCGCTATATGTAGAGGCATCCCTGGTAGGGGAAATGGAAGCGTGCGCCAAATTTGACCCCGGCTTTCTAGGCCGCCCTCGTGGAGGATCCATTTGGGGGTCGGTTGCTCTCACATCCAATTGCTGTTTGGTGCTCGGCGCCTGTATGGAGCGATCAGTATTGCTCAGTTGGAACTTATACTCAGATAAATCTTCCAAGAAGTAAGAGATACCCCTCATAAAATCTCTCTCCGAAACACGGCCCATTGTATCCACTACAGACTTGGTTAGTAAATCTTATATCGAATGTGATTGAACGTTGGGTAAGTGAAAGGTCACGTAATGGAAACATCTATTTCTGAAGTAGATGCCGTAGAATAGATTGTAATTCTCGGGGCTACTTACTAACCCTCTCCAGATGATCCGCCACAATTTGAGCGACATCTTCCATAAACTGCGCCTCGTCAAGACTAAGGCCCTGGGGTCGTGGTCGAATATCAGAGACAGCATAAACGCCAATCGCGTGCCCTTGTTTGGTGACTATGGGTACGCCTGCGTAAAATCTGACGCTAGCTCCAGACGTCACGTACGACCGGTATTTGAACCGATCATCCTCCAAAGTATCATTCACGATGAAGGCGGAAATGTCAATATCTTTACCTCGGGCATCCTTGTAGGTAGTTATGGCTCCAAAGGCATGTTCGTCCATACAATCCTGACGCGGAAGGGACACGTGACCGAGCCATATGTGATCCCCAGGAGCGTGCCGTCTTTCATCAATAAGCGACAAAGTCTGTGTGGCTTCTGCGAGAATGATTTGCGTATTGGCGTCTATTAAAGATACCATGGCGCGTTTGACGTTCAACCTTAACGCAGCCAGCTGAGCAAGCGCAGTTAGAGTAGTATCGTGAGAACATTGTACTTCTCGGGTCTCATCCGGTCCCGTATTCGCAGGTACAGTCTTTAACTTCTTGGAGTCGAGCCATGGCTGATAATATTTATGAAGATCACGCTGTCTAGCCAACTCTGCGGTGCTGACACTCGAGGCGCGTCTCGTCGCGACGCCGGCCGCAGTCATGTTTGTATGTAGGACATTAAGAATAATCTTGAGAGTCGTGTCAACTACCAGTCCGAAGAACTCATCAGTCTTGATTTTCTCGTGGCGACGTTCTTAGCGCCGAGCGGAGATGTCCGAGGTCGAGACCGATCGCTGATGGATCTTGACCGGGAACTAAGAGTTAGCGTTGTAGTAAGACTAATAGTCGACATGATGACATGTGTCAAATCGAGACTACAGGTATTGGAGAAAGTTAACGAATGACGTCGAGATTTCGATTGCGGATTACCTAGACGAGGATTTTAACAAGTTGCCACAGTCGGGCGGTTTGCCAAGGCCACGCAGCCACGGTGATCTTAACCTCAATGTGCCACATGCTTTGTGGCTAGTATATTGTGGATAACCGAAAGATCGTCAAGATTCAGCAGTGTAAAGATTTAAGAGTCCAAATATGGTTTTATAAGCTACAATCAATTCAAGGCTAAAAGAAGGGATTTTTCGTCACCTGGACCTGCAACTATTAATTAAGGGTTGAGGGTTGATTACCAGATACACCGAATTCCAACTAGACATAGAGAGACCTTCTTCGTCGTGTACATGTAGCTCAGGTTGCAATAGCTCAAGATTTAGTGCTAGCCTCAGAAATCCCGAAATGCAATGATTAATGATGATAAGATACATCTAGATGCCGTGATAAAAGGCGAATAAAACGTAGAAACGTGCCCACTAACATGGCCGCACGCTTCTCAGTGGCCAACTTTCCTAACTTCTTCGTCCATTTCTTTCCAGGTGGCACGCCTTTCTTCTACCGAGGCGCCACGGAAGAAAACCCCGTCAACCAACATTCTTCTTACGGCGTCAATCTCCTTTCGTAGATGTGCAGCTGATGGTAACACGAGAATAAGGGCCTCTGCCTTGGAAAGGTGCTGTCGCGCGTTCCCCACATTGTACTCATCTCCGCTCGAATCACCAGGCCCTACAGTATGGTTCGCTTGTTGAGCGAGAGCAACAAGTTTTGAATAGAAAATATGGCCTTCGGCCTCTTGTCGAATATATTTTGCCTCCTGTGCTAGCTCGGCTAGCTGCTTGCATTCCTCAAATGCCTTTTTGAGGTTAAACTTCACGATTGTATGACATCGAGTCAGACTTCTCAAATGTAGAAAGTCGCTTATGACCGTTAGATAACACCGGAATAGAGAAATACGAGCGGTAACCTGGCCACGCATGCGTATATCTGAAGGAATCAACTCATACTTGTCGGTAGGACGATCAATCCGATTAGTGTGTTCCATAAGATCATATACTTGGCGGTATGACTTCTCCATAGCCGTAACACCACCAACGTATTCAAATATGGTAAAATAAAGGTGGATGATTGACTTATACCGATCATGTCCAACCCAGTCGTGAATGGCAAGTAATTGGTCGATAGGGCTTCCGCTGACATAAAAGTCGCTGCTTACTCTGCTGATCGACTCTTGAAGGCGGTCAGATTTCTTGAAAGTTGTAAGTTTCTCCTCCTCGTCAATAAGTTGTCGTTCCAGTTTCATCGACTGGGTATGAGACCAGATAACAAACTTCTTGGTTGACTCTTCCAGTAACGTCTGACGAACAATCATCCCGTATCGTGAGATATTTCGCAAGCTTCCTCTGCAATGTGGGCAAGACCGAATCGTATCACCCGAGAAAAGTCTCGTCGAAGCCTGGATGGCAATAGGGGCACTATCGACATTTCGACAATTGTCTACTATTCCCAACGACCTGTCCATACTTGATACTGTAAATATGTGACCACAATCAAGAAAAAGGCAGGGTTCCGCGTCCAAGTTGATCATATGATATTCACGTAGCTCAGGTGCAGGCAGCGTATCAACTATGGTGGCTTTGATTTCTCCAGATGCACAAATTTGACAGAACTTCATGTCAGGGCAGGCCTCGCCACAAAGAGATGGACCTAGATACTCTAATCAGATCCTGAGCGTCTCGCAAAAAATGGTATGCTCTTACACTGATGACCGCAAAGTAAGCGCTGGCTGCAACGGTTGGAACAAGCCGCCCAATTGCATGGGGCAGAGCACCTGTCAAGAATGATTAGTAAATATATAGTCAGGTAATCACATCATATGGTAAACTTACGGCATAGAGCATTGACTGTGCACGCAGCTGGATGAACACGGTAACATGCAAGGGGTACAAGGCTCGGAGCATAGTTTAGAACATGCTGTGTGGGTGCACCGTTTGTCGCAAGGCATACCGCAAGGAGCACAATTCTCACCAGGATGACATTGATTAACACATGCGTGTTTACAAGTACTGTAACTTCGACCACAGATAGATGTACATGGTGAGTGAGTCCCACCACGAGTCCTGCAAACCTTGCATGAATCTTCGCAGACATGTCCACAGGGAAGAGGTTGACCACATCGTGCCGGGCAGGCGAAACTAATCTCGGTAATGTCTTCGTAGCAGGGAACATCAACATGATGACCGCAACCCGGCACATCTTTCCCTACACGTGTGAGACATTTGACCTCGCCCGGGTGCTCAACTTGCCAACATCGAGGTGAGGTTAGTGTGTGACCACAAGGAAGAGAAACCTCATGCCCTTCGAGTATAGTAGAACACCTTTCTTCACAATTATCTCCACAAAGCCTAGGACAACTATGGCCACAGGTCTTTAGCCGTAAGCATGGTTCCGGACATTTGACAGCCCTATGTAAGGGCTTTGCATGACATTTGCTACGGCAAATGTGACCGCAGTCAAGTTTCTCGGAACATTGAAGATTGCATCCAGCTTCTGGGGACAATCGGATAAAATCATCAGGTTCCGCCACTTCGATGGCTGTGTGTTTGTGTCTTGGGCATTGAAGTGGTAGTTTAGTGCCGATGCACCCGCTTTCGTTTAGCATGGAAATAACTTTTGACCACATCTCAACCTCACCATAAGTTGTGGAATTTCCAATGATGTACATTCCATGCTGTGCTCGCGAGAGGAGTACGTTAATCCTGTTTGTAGTCTTCAAGAATCCGCATTGTCGTTCTGAGTTACTTCGAACCAGAGAAATAACAATTACTTTCGCTTCTTCACCTTGAAAGTTATCAACGGTCGCAAGCCGTATGCATTTACCCAATGCCTGCTTATGTGCCTCTAATGGGGTATCTAAACCTTCTTTTTGAAGGCTCTCGAGGTCTCGAGCCTCGACAACAAGCTCGAATGAGTTTTGAAGCTTCTTTCTTAGCTTGTGCAATTGGCCTAGGTAAGGTGTCAAGATGGCAATATCGTCACGTCCGTACGTTCCTTGGCGTACAAGATGGGAGACGAGAGCGGAAACAACTTCGATTTCAAAATCATTTGTCCGAGACGTATTAGTAGGGAAATTCGGATCCGATCGCGCTTCTGGTTTATCATGGTCGAGCCAAAATAGGCGTTTTCTCATCCCGACCACTTCGGGATAATTTTTGACTTTCTCATCATCCTTAAGAGTCTCGTATATAGTATCTCTAATTAGTCTCGATATCGATGGATGCATTCTCCTTTGTATTTCGAGCATATCGAACGGCAATTTCAAGTCTGTGGGCCGTGTTGGCTGAACAAGTCTCTCAAAAAGTGACACGTCTAGCGAATATTGCTGTCCACGCGGATTTGCAGCAGAAAGCTCATAGTCTGAAACTTGGGGGCGCAGTTGAAGATGGTCTCCGATGAGAATAGCGTGCTGCACGGACGGAAGTAACGCTGTGAGAATGTGACTCTCTAGGACTTCGCCGGCCTCCTCACAAAGTAAGACTTTGCTGTCAAGCTTTCGAAGCATATCTAAGTTCTTGGCCAAACCGGTTGTTGTGACGCCAATGATATCAGCTTCTTGGAGAACGCGAAGATCCACCTCACGTTGCACAGTGTCGTGTTCCCTCTTCGCTTCCTGATAGTCATGGTGAAGAGAGACAAATTCATCTCCCAAGTCGGTAGCTACCACAGAACCCCAGGATGTGAAAAGCGCAAACCTTTCCTGCCGGCTTAAAACCGTTGGATCCTGCCCTTTCAGTGCGTCAACATCTCCGACTGGTTTCTCTGACACGGAACCTGCATTGACCCAGTCGAGAAAGTAAGCTAGGTCGTCCTTACGGGTAACTTTAGTCCAATCTTCCTCTTCTCTGCCGAATATCGCATCATAGAACAGCGATTCATTGGCCTTGATATGCTCCTTGATCTTTTTATGGGTTGTCGAGGCTTTTAGTTCTGTTAGGTATGCTTTCATCTCGTCTTCTGCCCCTTTTAAACCTGCAGCCGACTTCCATGAAGCATTTCTCTCCGATTTCGTGCGCTCCATATCCTTCCCCACATTACGCAGGTTCAGATTGGTAAGGACAGCCGATTTCGATCTTGAACCAATGCGAATAATCTGCTCTACTCCGCCATTGAAGAGATGTTCAAGGAGTTGATCTAAAGCGTGATTGGTGTAACAGACACAGAGTATTGGACCTATGCTAGCCTGCTCCTTGTTTGCTAAAAGGACCTTGATAATCGCCTGTACATGTGCCAGTTAATTCTCACGTTATATATTTCGGCAAGTTGGACTTTTGAACATGGTACTCGGTTAAACCGAAATAGGAGAAAAGGACTAAGAATTCGGGTATTGACTTACCTCACCAGTATAGCTTTTTCCTGTACCTGGAGGTCCCTGAATGAGTGCTAGGCTTCTTTTTAACGAGTTTAGAAGGGCTGTAGCCTGGCCTTCGTCCAAGCTTGATCTGCTACAAAGCTCCTGAGGATTTATGGCGCCCTGAGGGGAGAATTTTAAATCATTTCCATCCAATGTAAGACATCTCAAATTAAAAACGAACCCAGACTTTGTTGCATATAGGGGAGGTGAGATGCTAACTTCGGTTGGCCCATCAGCACTCGATGCAAGGAGCTCGGCAAACGGGAGATCCAGAGTCATGAATATCTGTTGGAGGGCTGATAGAGTAGGCTTGAACGAGGGCAGAAGGATGCCAGGAAATTCCACTAAGGATCTCCTGACAGGTTCATTGGACTGCGATGCCGACAGCATAATCTTGAGATCCACTTCGTTCGGTTCAGCTAAGTTCAGATTCACGTATGCAAAATCCTTATTGCTGTGAAGGTTACGTTTTTCGGTGCCATTTTTATCCGCCTTTTGTGTATGCGTGCGAGCTGGATCCGGTCTCAAGGTAGATTCGGCTACAACACAAAAGACGGCGGTATCCTTCTCCAGGAGGCAAACTAAAGCGCCTACCTCTAAACGTTTCGAAAGGTTCCACCAATCTGCTCGTGCTTCGCTTGCCAATCTTCCTGCAGAAAAAGGCTGCTCGATTTTCAAATGAAACTCCAATCCGCATCGGCGTGTGCATTTAATGTCAACAATATCTGCGATATTATATGAGTTTGTCCGAATACGACTCTGTGGATTGACAACGATAGCTTTGCTCTCTGGATGTTCAAGAAGACGTAGCTCTTCGCTAATACAGTCTTTTAGCTGACCAACCATATCTTCTCGAAGAAGTCGGAAGTGGCGGTCAATCAATCCCTGGATCCCTGGCAAGTGTAGCTGTGAGGGATCTTGGAATGGCCGGTAATCTGAACGGGTGGACATGATCTCCGACATTGTCGGTAGAATTCGAATCTTCGTTATATCCTCATGATCATTGTCGTGGCGTGGACCTTCCGGGGACAAATTTCCAGGAAGATCCCGACGCAATACAAACTTGGCATGTCCAGGGGGCTGGGGCTTTGGGGCGTCATCTCGCGCGGCTTCTTTGATGACGCCGAGACGACGCTGAATATACTCGAGATGGCTCTTCGCTTGTAAGGTCCAAAAGCTACGACCACTCTGATCAACGTCATCAACAAGTTTCAATATTCGACTAACAATTGGCGGGACTTTCTCGTTCGCGAGTGCTTGAGAATTGTAACTGATCGCCTTGGCTAATATTGCGGAACAAAGTTCTAGGAATTGAGCTTTCGATCCGTCGTCGTCTTTGATAAGCGGTGGTTTCCATTTTACGGCGAGTTCAATCAGGAAGTTGAAGAGAATTCCCAGACGAGAAGCATCGTAGCCGAAAACAACATTGTAAATAGTCCCGGTGTGCGCTTCTAAGATAGCCGAATGGCTTACTCGCTGCTCAGTGAGTGTTTGAAAGAAGGGTAAAACGCAAGTACGCCAGAGAGTTATACGTTTGACATCGGTATTGCAAAACTGAATCTGCTCGTCGATCATTTCGCGCACTGCTAGGACTCCTGGATCCGTCGCAAGTTCGGTTATCGTCTTTTGGAGCACGTCAAGGTCGCCTTGGACTAGATCACGAGCGATCTGAAAGAATTGAGGCAGTTTAAGGCCAAAGGCTGAAGGCTTACCCTCGTAAGCCTTCGGGATCATTCTTCGCCACTTATAGAAGGAAGCCTCGTTGTTTGCATCTTGAGAAGTCGACATGGTAATGTCGGCGCGGTTTCTCGAGCTTTGGATACTGGGAGATTCTTGTGCAGAATGCGAGAATTTACAAGAGGCTCCGCGCTTGCAACCACCAGGTTCGTTGGCAGAGCGGCATTGGGCCGGATGGCGTCTATAGGAATTAGCATGAAACTTACTAAAGAGAAGACAGATAAACAAGGCAACTTACATGCCCGAAGGCGCCATGCCAAATAACAGTTCGCAACAGATATATTGGGTTTATTGACAGATGACGATTACAGGAGAAGACTAAGTATAGACCCTCTGATCCGAAATCAGGCGCGATTCCTTGGAGTATTGAGGTCGCCTGGGAGAGATGCACGCTTGTAGAAAGATAAAACGTGGTGGTTGAAAGGGAGATTATTGAGTGCCGAAAGTTGGACAAATTCCGGGTTGAAAAGCAACCGTCGAAAAGGTAACTCTAGGCAGAAATGGAGTTGATGAGAAAGGAAGCAACCAAGGTCCGAAGCTATGTACATAGGTACACATACTTAGGCAGGTACGCGATATGATGCTAAGTGTACCTGCTTTACCATTGACGTACCTAACGTACCTACCTAACCTACCCCATAAGGTAAGACGAGTATAAACTCTACATGGTCGAGATAAACGTGCTTATATGTTGGTACCTGTAGATGCCATTTACATATTTGGAATTAAATCCACAATCCACATAAGTTGATCTCAAAGTCTGTGATTTCGTATCGCAACGATACCCTAACTTTACATGTAATCGGTAAGTGCTATCTACCTGCATTTAACTACCATTAACCCTACTATATGATCGGTTAAATACTTCACGCAATATTTCTTATGCTATACATTCTCAGAAAGCTACGTGATCCGCGTTTCTACATACAAAACTACCTATCTACAAGAATGAGAGATGCATATTTACCACAACTGCCTAAACTTTAGTCTGTGGTATAATGAAATCGGGCTTATCTAGGAAAATTTAAACTCTCTACGGATATTGAGATCTGTGTGGTAGGGAGAAGCATTCTTAGGGTCTAAAAGGGCTGCTATATATAACTGAGGTTCCCTGTTCACAAAGGATACATCAAGTAGAAAATGAACATTACTTATAGAAAGGCGTCTCCCATACAAGAGGTTGCGGGAGTTTACAATTGATTTAAATATAAGAATAAGAGTGAAAGGAGAAAAGGGGCGAAAGAATATACCAACTCGGGCATTTTGTACCAAAAGTTAAATTTGTACTACCTATAATATGTGATAGCGATACAAGTAATTACGAAGCCACGTTGTCGGGTATGCGAGGTTGCGAGTCAGGAGAGAAAAGAAATATTAGAAAGATATTTATGTGTAATAGGTAAAGAAGGAAGCACGGGACTCGAATTCCAACTTTCCCCCAGCCCATCTTATTCTCCTCCGAAGTGCCTAACATGATACGCATTACATTCGTAAACCATATATCTCGGTTCCTTTCCGTGCCCGAGAAGAATTATTGCTTACCCAGGTACCCAGCAAAGTCGAAGATTAGTAAACATATAGGAGTTAAGAGTCCCCTGTTTGTGTATGAGGCAGTTAAATGCGAAGGATCAAGTTAACCGTGATTGAGCATTTGTCCAGGTGTAGAGTTTCGATTTTAACAAGCACTGAAAATCTAGAATTTCTAAATGGCACAGACATTCGAATGGTGTCATCAGCGCCATCCGTTATAAAAATAAAATCGAACACGCTCCAGAAGCTTGAGGGCTACCCTGCGTCGTTGTATTGAATACGAAGAGTCTCACCATCCTTCTACGTCAACTCTTACCTGTCCTCTGGATAGGAAGTCATGTCTCATATTTTAGGATGGAGAGCTTGCTCTTCGGGGGTTCGCAACGTTGTTTTCCGGAGCGGTGAACTATGGCTTCATCTTTGTTCGTATTCCCGATTTATACCTCTCGCTAAAAACTTCCGAATCATCAGTAGATTTATAAGAATCCTTTACCTGGTAGTTTCGACAGTTGAGCGACTGTGCGTGCATGGTTTATGAATCATGATACTCAGAGAGATGGGCGTTTTGAAATAATGTAGTTCCCACGATCCATTAGGTAATTTTACTCCGGATGCAACGTAGTCAATAAGGACAATAAACAGTCTATCTAGGTAGGTATTTTATCACCATGCTTGCTCGGAGTGGGGCAGATGGCTCTTCCAGGACACTCATTAATGACCCCTTTTGGCTAGGTGGGATCTCTGAATCTGAGTTCCCATTTCGGTGGCTCTACGCTTTAAATGGTGCCTATTCGGATCCTGTTTTGAAACCCCCCGAATCCTACTAGTCTACTCGATTTGGTTTCTGCATCGAAGCGGCGTTCGGCTTGAAGACATTTTGATTGGCTACCGATTACGAGATGCATGGATACGCGGGATTATGATTGGCGGGCTTAGTATGGAGCCAGTACCTAACTATTCCAGGAACCATGATCACCGGGGCGAGGAGACTTTACCGGCGTTCTGGAAAACGGCGGCTAGGCACGTGGCAGTACGCTGCACGTCGTAGCCGCGAGGCTTAACTTCGGCCGGGAGGTCCTATGATAGGAAATCGAGATGGCGTAGTAGGTGGATTCCTTCTCTTATTCTTCCTTCCTCCTCATTCTGTAGTGGAGTGGACGAAGTAAGAGAGGAATTCTTCTCTGTGATGTGAATCGAGTGACCCGTCTTTCTCCACGGTACGTTCCTTCGACCAACACGAGAAAAGGTGATACTGGAGTCCTTCTCCAGAATAACCACTTCAGAACCATATAAGTTTCTCGAAGACACCCGCCGACATGGCACTATTACAAGATGTCAAGACAGACACTAGAATCATCCAAGCTCGTCCTAGTACAGACCACCCTCGAGTTCTCTTCGGTACCAACAATAACAACTCGAAAATATTTTCAGAGTCCAAAACTAGCTCCAACATGAGTCACTCAGAGGGCCAGCCATGCACCTTTGCAGATATTGCAGTTTCGTATCGGGTCTACATTCTCGACGACCTCCTTTCAGAGCCGCAAGAGATTGTCCATGATTGGAGCCGGAACCTTCGTAAGTAGTATCAAGGTCCCCTTTCCCCCCCTTTCTGCTCCGGGTCATTCCTGGGCCCCTTAGGACTTTTCACAGAATAGAGTAATTACTAACAATCATCATCAAAGTGTACATCAGTCAACGACATCGGCAGGGCCATAGTTTTGCGCCTATTGAGATGTCTAATGAAATTCTTATTTTTGACGTTTCAACTGGTGACATTATCGGTTCAATCGATATTACCCCTTATGCCGGGCCACACTGCATGGAGCTAGATGCGTCATGTAGCTATGTCCACGTCTACATCAACGAAGGGACTATTTGGATAGACCTCGAGTCTAGAATAGTCACTAACTTCGAACCAACGCAGAGCAGAAGGCGCGGAGAGAGGACTACCGAAGACTTTATTGCTGAAGTTGATCTCAGGTCCGGTAAGATGCGGCAGAGAATCAACGTTCCAGAAGGCGACAGAAACTCTAGCGATGGGCGACATATCACCTTCTCTACCCCGGCAATTCGGTTTGCAAGTCGGTCATCAAGTAGCAGACTACCTGTTATAGATGTTTTGAACGATCATGTTGTCGATGCTATCAAAAGCAAGTTCCCGGTGAATGCGATATACGTCACATCGAGGAACGTTATGCTGGTTTAAGGGGATACATAAAACCTATTCATGCTAGAAATGAACACCTACCGAATCTATGATGGAAAATAGGAGCTGGGATTAGAGCTAGGATTAAGAGTTGGGGAGTTATAGATTTAGTCCATGCTGGCATGGCGGGATGGAGGTTTGCAATGATTTACAATAGACTGCTTAAAGTATACAGCAATGTAACGTTTTCTTTCTGTTTCTTAACTACGTGTTTTAAAGAGTTGTACATGAGCAATGTTACCTGTCTTAGGGCTATTATGATAATTACAACAGACCATGACCTTAGGCTTGAAGGTTATCGTATTCAAATTCCTAGTTCCCGCATCACGAACAGCCCCTGATCCCCGCCCCCGCCCCCGCCTCCTTACAGGGGTATGCTTAAGCGATTATCGGGAAGCTCCACATTTAAAGGTGGGTTTCATATGCCGGGTTACTGCAAAAGGTCTCGACCCTGAGTGTACCGGGGAAGACTCGCTGTATTAATGTGGCGTAAAAGCGCTTAACCTAGATTAATAATAATAGACGTCTGCTAAACGCCGTAATCTCAGCGCGGCTACTTTACTTCCATTTCCTTCGAGAGCAATTACTAAAGGCTTACATACCTACCTAAGCTAGTCATCATTAGGCACGATTACTTCTAACTTTCAAAATGTCTTACATATAAGTGGATCTAGTTCAGCCCTATAAGCCGACGGACCCTAACTACCCATGCATCCCATATATCCTAGTCGGTTTTAACTGGGACTCTAAAGGCCGTTCGGGGTCCATGATTGATTATTAACGCGGAAATGGCATTTTATCACCGGGCTCGGCGACCAATACGTCATAAACCATAATGTTAGCGAGTCTATAAAGTGGATAAGCTTATTCCTATGCGATGTGACGGGTAAGTTGATCTTGCTAGTAGATCATTATGTCTCAGCGGTACAAGCGCGGCACGGCTGAGCCGCAGCCCTAGCCATGACGAACACAGCTTACGCATTTAGGTGCTCGTAAACATGAGATTACTTGTGCCGTTCAACATGAACAGTCAACAAGCTTGGTAAAGCACCGTGCCGCAGTCACACGAGAGTATAGCCACCATTAAAATTGTTAGCTTTCTTCGCTTTACCAATGTTACACTTCACCGTTATAAATGTTAAGATATCTCGAAGTGTATGTCTCACATAAAAAATCGAGGTTGTAAAGACAAGATTATGACAGTTTGAAGAATGCGCTGCTTACATAATTAGAACACGGAGAGTCTTAGGTAGTATAAACACAGGTCCAAGCGAACAGGGTACTTTTGCCCCCATGGTACTACGCCGCCGGTTTAGCGACCGGAAACACCTTAATACTTTCCCGTGCGATCTTCGGGTTGGTAGATATAATATGCCAAATCCGATTTAAGCTTTTAGTCGCTCCCACAATGGAGTTAATCCATGTCAATTTTGACTCGTACGAGTTGATACATGCCTATGA